TCAGCCCCCACCACTAGCCTGCCTTGTTCACGGTTGTGTCCCCCAGCCCCCGCCCAGGGCCTGGCATTAGAAAATGCTCCATAAAGATGTGTTGAATGGATGAATTTTTGAGTTGGAAAGGCCTTACACATTCCAGTTCTCCTTTTCCTTCCTTGCCCATCAGTCTCCAAATTTTACATAAGTGAAAGTAAATGCACAGGTTAACTAGTTTAATTAGGAAAGAGCCAGAACTAGAATCCACCCAACCATTCATTCATTCACTCATACATTCAAACCACCATTTCTTGGGCATCTATGCTGTGCTGAATGCTAAGGATACAGAGATGAATACAGTCATCTCCTGTCCTCTAGAAACTCACAGCTTAGTGGTGGGGACAAACACAGGTCATAGTTAGGACATGGTTTAAGCTGCACAAGACAGACCAGAATAATAGTGGCTCAAATGAGATAGGTAACTTCTCATTCGCATGCAAATCCAGGCTTGCCTAGCAACTGAACTCCACAAAGCCACCAGGAGCCCAGGCCTCTCCTGTTTTGTTGTTTATTATATGCAGGAGTCAGAAGCAGAGCTGAGAGGCAGGAATATCATGCCAGTGATTATAAAGCCTGAAGGAGAAAAAAGAATGGGGAGTCTGCAGTGCCTGGGGCACATTCTGGCAGGTCCTTGGGCCAGGCTTCCTCAGGTTAGTTTCCTAGTCCTGGCTACCATGTGGGGGAGTTGGGCCTGCTCACAGCCTCGGCATGGGGCAGGCAGTAGGAGGGAGCAGAGAAACCCAAAAGGTGGAAAGGACCTGAGAGAAACTAAAGAGGTAGAATCTGCAGGACTCGGTCCCAACTGAATGAAGGAGGTAAGGGTGAGGAGAAGGCAATCATCCAAGTTGCCAATGTCACCGGCCAAGGCAAGAAAAGGGAGGCAGAGCAAAGGGAGGATGACTGGGGTAAGGTAGGGGCTGGGGAGCTCAAAACAAAGCCACCAGGACACAGCTGCAGACATGGGTGAGAAGTGCCAGGGCTGGGGATGTGGGCTGCGGATTTGCACGGCAGTGTCCTCATCAGAGAGACAGATACTGGAGCTTGTGAGAACAAGTTCCCCCAGGGGGAGGGCACAATGCAGTGACCTTCTACCTTGGATGTACATTCCAGTCCTTCCAGAAGCATCTAAAAACAGGATGGAACCTGGGCTTCCCTGTGCCGCTACGCTCATCACAAACAGATTCTGACTCAGAAAGACGGGGTGACTATCTGTGACTACAGGTTCTCTTGCTTGCAAGACAAGAAACCCAACTCAAACTGACATAAGCAAAAATGACTCCTGTAATTGAAAAGTGCAGGCATGGATGAGCTTCAGGAGGAGTTTGATCCTAGATGCCAAACAATGTCCTCAGGACTCAGTCTGTTTCCACCTAGGCCTGCCTCCAGTGTTGCTTTCATTCTCAAGCAGGATCTTTGGGATCAGTGGCAAGAGGCCTCCTGCAGCTATTGCTATTCTTTCAGACAGCCCTTCGGAAAGGAAGTTATCCTTCTGTAATCATTCCAGCCTGATTCTCATGAATCTGACCTGGACCATATGCCCATCTCTGGCCCAAAGACTGTAGCCAGGGGAGATAGTTAGATTAGTTCATTTCCGAGAGCCGGGTATGGGGTCAACCTCACCAAAGCCACATGGATGGAGAGTAAGAGGGTTCCCCCACAAAACTGAGCCACAGTTATAAGGAGAAGGGGAATAGGTGCAGGGAAGATAAAACAACAGGTGTCCATGCTCCTGTGGCCTCCACAGGTGATTATGATATGCAGTCAGTTTAAGAGTTGTGGGAAGAACAGCCCAGCAGACTCTGTGACAAAGTTGTGAGGAGATGTGACCACCATTTTGACATGGGGACAGAAAGAGGAGCCTTCAGGGAAGACCGAAACCCAGGCCAGAGAGACAGGCGTGGATGGGGCGGTGGGGCCTCAGGAGCTGGGTGGTGACGGTCAGTGGGGGCAAAGCCGCAGAGAGAGGAAGAGAAGCGGGGCTTGCTCCATAAAACTGAGCTGGGAGCAATGGGCAGGGCTTTAAGGTACAGAGAACAGGTGAGTGAAGGACAAACTTCCTGGTAGAGCGTCTGGCAGAAACAAACATGTGGAAGCAGAAAAACACAGAAAATGCTTGAGAAGCAGTACATACGCATAGGGACACTTCTTAGCTTTCCGATCTGGTATCCAGAATATTTGTTTTTATCTAAGAGCATAACCATGACCACAGACTGAAGTCAAACTCTTGGGTTAGCATCAGAAGTCTTCCATCTTCTTGCTAGGAACAAGAAAACCTATTTCCTAGGGACTATTCCTGAGTCACAGAATCCCCGCCCTTCTTCTTGGGAGCCCACTAAGCACCTTCTGGCGGCCTTTACTCTGTTCTGTGGATTTTTGCTCTCTGCCTCTTGTGGCAGTTGTTTCTGAATGTATCTTATCTTCCTTATTGGACTCTGAGCTCCTGGGGAAAAGGGTCTTTACCCTCCTGTGTCTCTAGGTCCCACGTCCCACTTGTGCAGAAAAGGGTTTCAAGATAAGCTCTGTTGCCTGGGATGGGCAGTGCTTAACCAGAAGGGAGAAGTCCCCAGAGTAAGAATTTCAGTCAGCGGGTGAAGAAGGGAAAGGACATGTGGGGGTAGGGCCCCCACTCAGGTTTTCTCCCACAGGGGGCTACCAACAGCTAACAGTTATGGGGTGGGGGGAGGCTATGACTCATTTGCTTTCTCTTGGGGCTGAAATTTCTTCCCGTTTCCCAACTGAAAGCCCAAAAGTGGCTGTGTCTTAGCTGGCACTAGTAGCCATGAGTTCCTAAAGAATGAATCACATGACACTTACTGAGTGTCTACTCTGCACCAAGCACTGTTAAGGGCTTTACATGCACTACTCAATAAGTTTTCCCATTTTGTAAGTGAGGAAAAAAACCCAGAGATGTTAGGTAACTCTGATATTGACAGAACTGTGATTTATACCAGGTGTCTCTGACTCGAGTTGCCCTGGAAGTCTCCAGGGTCCAAACATGTCATTTCTGATGCTGGCGTTAGGTTAGTCCTGTAGCCTCTCCTTCAGATCCTCATCACAGAGCATGCAGCAGCCCCAAACCTTTAAGGTTTCACTGCCTTAGCATTCTTGAGGGCTCCTAAAGTCCTGAAAGGGAAAAGATCAGCTTGTGGAATAAAAAAGGCTGAAATTAACTCCCCAGTTCAGTTCCTCCATTCCCACTACCTTTGCAGAAGAGCTGAATGAAGGTCTCTGAATCCCCAGGCAGGTAGCTCTCAGTGCAGAAATTCTCTAGCGCCCCCTCGTGGTCTTCAACATCCCCGCGTGCTCTCAGGGATTACTCCATACAGCGCAGTGGAGACACCCAATCACAGAGTAGGGAAAAAGAGGCGCACTTACCCAAAGGAGATGCTAGAAATGCTAGAGCTGGGGCAGACCCAGAGCTCCGGGCTGCCAGCCCTTTCCGCAGCATCACTTTCTATCCTTGTAGTTCTCCATAGTGGTTGACTGACGCAGCAGGCAATGCTATTAGCACTTATTATTTATAAATATTATATTACTCTTTCTAATGTGCCACACTATTAGGTGCACCGTGATACTGTATTGTAGATTAAGCTCAATTAGGTAAATATATAAAATGCAAAGGTGGCACAGCCTGTTATTATAAACTGGAATCACAACACTCCAGTGATTTCAAGGTTCCACCATTTCACATGTCAAGGACCAGACTTTTATCTCCTGCCCGCTGTTGTTGGGAAGCAGGCTTTCTGCATAAACTCATTCCCACCACCTCATTTGCAGGAAGGTCAAGACGCCCAAGGAGATAAAGTCTCTTGAGATACAAATAGTGCTTTAAGTGGAAGAGGTGACAAGAGAAGAGAGGAAACTACGAAATGCCCTTCGGTGGGCTTTTCTCGCCTGGGGTATAGGAAATGACCGCAGGAGGGAGTGGAGTTAGAAGGACTCACAGGGCCGGGGTTCGAGAGTGTGAGGACTGCTCACCTTTGATGGCCGGGACCTTGGCGCTGGCGGGTCTGAGAGCGGGGGGGACGGAATGAGTCCCAGACCGACGGCAGGAACCACGGAGGATCAGGACTGGAAGGCACCGGGATCTGCCTCTCAGAAATCCTGGAATGAACCCTTAGGCTGAGGTTTTTTTAAAAATTTCATTTATTGTTTACATTATTTTTATTGTATTTTTTCCATTACCATTTACTCTCGTACCTCTTCCACCTCCGCGCCCCCCCCCCCCACGGCGCTCAATTTTTGCTCTCCTGTACCTTTGTTATGCCTGGGTCCCGAAAGAGAAAAGGGCACAGTTCTGCTGCCCCCTGGAGGGCTGACTTACCGCCTTCCCCCGCCCCCACCCCAAGAAAGGTGTGGTTGGCGGAATGCGCGCCACCAGAGGCACTGGGGAAACTGCAGGACTCGGGAGGCAGACAGCCCGAGGTGGAGTGAGTTTGGCGAGTCGGGGAAGAAATGAGACACGGCGGGGGGGGGGGGGGGGGGCGGATTGCAGCCGAAGGGATTCTGATCCTCCTGCTCAGAACCTGGAGATCCATCTAGATGACTCAGCCGGGCTCCTTGGAGGACCCCAAAGGCTGGCTTTGCCAACTCGTCAGAGAACAGAGTGATGCCTGGCCCCATGACTTCGGTGGAAGGCGCGGAGGGCTCTCGGTGTGAATCCGGAGAAAGGGAGAGAGGTGAAGCCTCAGCCCCACTCCACACCCTCTTCCTGCCTATAAATAACCCCTCGTCACTTCAAAGGGGACAGAGATAGCGGGAGAGGCTGCTCCCGGGGCCAGTGGCTCGGGGGAGCGGCCCCTGCACACCACGCCCCCCACCCCGGGCGAGTTTGAATAAATAAACAAATCCAAGCCCTCGGCCGGGCTGGAGGTGGAGGAGGAAAGGAGAGGAGGAGGAGGGAGGGAGGGGGGCGGGAGAGATTAGTTTGGGAAGTAGCACGGATTGCTCATCCGATCCGTGCAGCGGCGGCTAGTGTGTCAAGTTACAGAGACGCCGGAATCGGCCCCAGCGCTCCTCCGCAGCGGCCACGACCCACCTCTGCCCATGGGGCCCTCTAATTGCGCCCCTTTGCTCCGGGACTGAAACTGGCTGGCCGGGAAGACGCGAGACACCAAGAAGCACCGACTGTGCAGAATCAACTCGAGGACTCTGCAGACACTTGAAGGGAAAGACGGGCGGAGAGGAGTGCCGGCCAGATTCCCCTAACTTTCCCGGACCTGGAACGCTCTTCGAAGTAACTTTTTCTCACCTGGGCGTACCCGGATTACCACGGGTTGTGTTTTCTCGGCTTTCCCTCCCTTGCTGCTAATTTTTCCATATTCTTTGCCGGGAGCAAAGGAAAGGGACATTTTCCAGCAACACAAGCCCTTTCCCCGTGCCCCGCAGCTTGGATCGAGCCTTTGGGCAGTGGCTCTCTCCTTTATTTATTCTATTTATTTATTTATTGATTCTCAAGACGCGAGGGGATGGTAGCGGAGCGCGCTCGAAAAGCGGCAGCTGCGGGTGCCCGAGGCCCTGGGGAGCTGGGCGCTCCTGGGACGGTGGCTCTGGCGGTGGCGTCGGCTGAGCGCTGCGCGCGGCTGCCGAGCCCGGGGTCGTTCGGGCTGCTGGCGCTGACCCTTTGCTCGCTCGCGCTCAGCCTGCTCACCCACTTTCGGACCACGGAGCTGCAGGCCCGGGTGCTGCGCCTGGAAGCGGAGTGCGGGGAGCAGCAAATGGAGACAGCTATTTTGGGACGAGTCAACCAACTGCTGGATGAGGTCTGTGCTCTTTGTTGCTGGCTTTTATCCCTCCCCGCGGCGCCCCCTCGCGCAGCCTCCAAACTCTCCACCACTCGGTGCCCGCGGGAGCTTTCTATCCACGCCGCGCGGTGCGCCGCGGGACTCGCCGGAGTTATCTGAGGGAAGGGTGGGGCCGGGGAAAGGCTCTGCCCTGCCAGAGACCCCGAGGACCCGAGTTGTTTGCGCGAGACCCCCTCAATGCCCCGCTCCAGCAGGAGCCCCCTGTGTCCGGGGCTGGGAGCACCCTGGGCGCTTGAGGCAGGTGGAGGAAGGCATGGAGCGCCCAGAAGCTCAGAGGCGGCCAAACCCCACTTCTCCCACCCGGCACCCCGCCAGGGTAGTGTGAGAGCCACCCAGCGCCCACGCTGCAGGACGTGTGCCCCGTGGCCCCAGGCCGAGGCTTGCTGGGACTCCATGGCCCTCCCCATCTCTCCCTGGAGGATCAGTACTGCCTTTTATTGATAAAGTTCCGTTTGGAAGGTAGAGTGAGGGAGTGAGTCATCCAAGGGGCTGAGGGGGCCAGAGGGGGCAGGTCTTGCAGCTGGTGGCGTCCTGGCCCCTGCCCACTGCCCCAGACCACTGGGGCCCAGGTGTGGGTCTCCCTGGCTCTGCCTACCCTCTTGTTCCTAAGCTGGGTGTCTTTTTTCCTGCCCTCTGGAATGGCCCCCTGCCCCACATTTTGTGTTTGTGTGGTTTTCTGGGGAAAGGATGCTGAGCTTTCTCCCATTTCCAAAATGTTCATTAACACAAGTGGATTAAAAGCCACTAGTGTCTCTTAACCATGGCAACCCGGGGAGCACATAAAAAGACCCACCCTCCCCAGGAAGGAGGGACATACTGTCTTACTGGTGCCCTCAGAGAACAGGCATGAGGCCTGGTTAGTAACTTCCGGGAATCTGGACAGCACAGGGTATCCAGGGCCAGGATAGAGGGGAGGAGCCACAGGTAAGGGCTGCAGCAGCCTGGGAAGAGGTCCTGCAGTAGGCTGGCCATGGAAGGTTTCCATCAGAAAAACCAGGTGGGCCTCTTAGTAAGAAGTGGGGTGGAATAGTGAAGAACAGGATGGCAGAGTCCAGCAGGCCTGTTTTAGTCCTACTCTGCTGCTTAGAGGCTGTGCAACCTGGGGCAAATGCCCTATTCTCGCTGGGCTCAAAAAATGGTGGTGGCGATGGCAAGCATAAGAGCCCATCTCTTACTGTAGTGGTGTTGTAAGCGTTCCAGAATGATGTGCCAGTTCCCTACAGCCTGGCCCCTCTCAGGTGTCCCTACCTGGCAAAGCCTGGTAGCTGGCAAAGCAGGTCTCCAGAGTGGTCAAGGAGAGGGAGGCCATGTGGCCAGAGCAGAGAGAGTGGCCACAGGGCAAGTTTACTGCTGCTGTCAGCTCATTCCCAGGCTCTGCCAGGTCCTAGGGAATCCAGAGGGCTGTCAGGCCACCACAGTTCCCTGGACTGGGGGAGGGGGAGGGACTTTAGGCTCAGCAATGCAAGCAGGCAGCCTCTGTGGTCCGCCTGCGAGTGCACATGGGCCTGGCTGTGCAGTGGCGGGTGTGAGGGCATTGAGGGCTCTCCCAGGCGTCTGTGGGGTGCCGCTCACTGAAAGACAAGCGTCAGACCCTGGGAGTTTTGCTCCTTTCCCCGCATCCTCCTTTCCCCTTCCTGGCCACTCCTGTGGGCTAGGACATGCCCCAGCCCTTTCCCAGATCTTGTTTCCTCTGTTTGAGACAGCCACACCATGTCGCATGCTCTCAGAGTCTTGGAACTGGCAGTGTTATCTGACATGCTGACTCCTCTTTCCGAAACTGCAGCTTCATGTCTGCCCCACTGACTTCTAGACCTCTCATCTGCAGAGCAGCTGAACTGGCCCTGTTTCAACAGACGGGGGAGCTCAGGCCCAGAGAGGGGCAGTAGGTTACTCAGAGTCACATGGTGAGATCCAGGACTACAACCTAGGCCTTCTGACCCTGCGTCCTGTGCTTTTCCCATTGCGTCCTGCATCTTCTTTGTCCATTGTCATCCGATCATTCAGCAAATGCTTCCTGAGGTTCAGCTGTGGGTCAGGCAGTGTGGACACGCTTCTGCCTTCCTAAACGTGCAGATGAACAGGACACAAAAAAGGAAGTGGGCAGGGGCTGTGTCATGTAAAAGGTACCTACAATGGAAGGAAAGGAGGCCTGGGGAATGCACTGCCATGCGGCGCACCTGATGGGGGTGGCTACCTGGGAAAGTGGGTTACAAGCAAGGTCTTAAAAAGTAAATAGGACTTTTCCAGGCAAAAGATGAGTGTGGATGTCTTGTTCTTAGGGGCAAAGGGAACAGCTTCTGGAGGCTGGAAGTCAAAGGGAGGGGTGTGCTTTGGGGAACTGAAGAAAGTCCACGACCCTGGAAGGCTGGAGGGTGGCATGGTGGAGAACATGGCTGGAGAGAGACAGGGGCCTCGGTCAAGAGGGACCTCGGAGACAGTCAATCTGTGTAAGAGCAGTGGGGAGCCATGGGAGGGTCTGGAGGGGAGCAGTAATGTCCCCAGAATGAGAACTTAAGGTAGAGCAGGGAGGTCAAAAGAGAGGCTAGTGCAGGCCACAGAGGACTGTGACTCAGATGAGGGGGACAAGTGGGGTCAGGGAGGAGTGCATGGAAGTGGTGGCAACAGTGGTGGGACCTGAAGTCGGTAGCAAAGGGCATTGGAACCAGAGGGAGAGAGCTGTCCTGTGTGTGGCCTAGCCTGTGTGCAATTGGCCCTCGGGTGCATCTCCCGGGTGTGACATGCAGTCCAATGGCTCCTGAAGGGACACTCTGAGGGGTGCGTTGTCCAATATGGTAACCTCCAGTCATAAGCAGCTCATTTACATTAGTTAAAATTAAACAAAATTTAAAATTTAGTTTCTCAGTCACACCAGCCCCATTTCAAGCAAGTGTCCAGTGGACACCTGGAGCTAGCGGCCACCGGGCCAGTCAGCACAGGTACAGAGTCATTGCACGTGTGGTGGCAGGAAGCTCTACGGGGCAGTGCTGCACCAGAAGCAGGACACTTCTGGGCCAGCAAAGGTGTCCCCGAGCAACTCAAGGCCCTTCCTCCACCCTAGGCCTTTTCTTTTTGAGGGGTGTTCTCCCAAATTGGAGCAAAGGGCACAGGTGAGGAAAGGGTGAGGCAGAGAAGGGAGAGCTGGAACTGGCAGAAACCCCTGGGAGAAAAGAAGATGCAGAGAAGAGAGGAGGACATGGCTTTGTTAAAGAATGAGCCTAAGAAATGGTGTGCAGAGGACCCCTGCTCTCAAGGGGCACACAGATGCCCTGGGAATATGGGGGCCTAGACACAGGATTCCAGCTGGGCTTTGCCACCCCCTGAGCTCCAGCTTCCTGCTCTGTAAAACCCAGGCCCTGCCTCCCTCCTGGGGATGCTGTGAGATTTTCAGGGATGGCAAATGGAAGATTGCACTGCAGGGCCCCACCACCAGAGGCCATGCTCAGGGCCACAGGAGTGCCTGCAGGGGGCTCCCAGGGACATGGGGCAGGCAGGTAGTCCTGGCACAGGTGGGCCCTGGCCACTCCTGAAGGATAGAAGAAAGGCAGCGGTCAGAGCACCTGGTGAAGCACACAGTCTGTGCGATGCCCCGGGGGCAGGGATCTAGGGGCAAGTTCACTCCACCCACCCCAGTCAGGAAAGGATCTGTGAGGCAGGACGAAGAGGGGACTGCCAGGGAAGGCTGAGGGGACCCAGCAGGAGGGAGCCTGGAATGAGGAGAGCCCCAGCCTCAGGCAGATGTAAGCAGAAGGGCCAAGGCACTGGGAGGGGAGGATAGGGTGGGGGATGGGTGGGGGGCCAGCTCGAGGGAGCTGGGAGTGCGGCTTCCAGCCCTCAGGCCCCAGCTCTTCCCCCTGTCTCTCCTGGTCTGGGACCCTTAATGAGCACTCCAGCTGCTGTTGCTTGATGTGCTTGCTGTGAAGAGAGAAACCGGAATGTCCCAAATGGAAGCAATCAGATGTCACCTATGGCTGGGCAGAGGGTGTGTGCTGAAAGAGGAGGGAGAGGAATTTAGAATAACCAAATTCATTTGTAGGCCAAGGCGGGACAAGAGGTTCAGCAGCCACCTTCAAGGTGAATATTGAGGGACCCCAGGCAGACTCCCTCGCCCCTAAATATAATAAGACCAACCATTGTAATAGCGATGCCTCACATTTATAGGGTGTGTGCAGGGGCCCTTTATTGGGTCCTTTCCAGAGGACCTTTTAGGGGGGAGATCAAAGCAGTGGCTGAGAAGCTGGGGCTTTGCATGGGTTCCCCTAGGACTGAAACGCTGGGAGGAGGGCAGGAGCAGGCCCTTAAAGGGAGTGTGCATGTGACACATGAGGGGGGTGGCCTGTGCAGTAGTGTCCTGTGGCAATCATAGCTGCCTGCACCTCGGGAAATGAACAGAACTTAGATCCCGGTGCCCTCATATGCAGCAAGGACCCCACTATGTCATCCTAACCCTACTCCTCCTTTCATGGAGGGAGCAAATGACTCGGGGTATTGACAGAGGGATGGTCCTCAAAGCCTCTCTAGTCCAGTGCCCTTGCCCCGCAGATAATTGTCTTCACTCACCAGTCCCTGGCCCTCAGCAGACGTGGCTCATCAATTGTAGTGCCCTTCCCCCCTGAACTTGCTGCCCCAGATTCCTCCCAACATTGTTGCAGGAAGCTACCGCTAACTAGTGAGCTGGTGGTGTTCAAGAGAAGAGCTATTTTATCACTCTAAATTTTGTAAATGCAAAGCAGTAGTTACTATAGATAAAGCCAGGGAGCATTTCTAAAGTTTTACAGCTTCTCCAAAGGCCTTAAAGCAAGCTGGTAGCTCCAAGCCAGACTGAGGACCTCATTAAGTAGCCAACCCTCTGGGAAGGTGGTGGGAAAAAGTCAAAGTATCTGAAACAAAATGCCACCTGCCTTAAGCATAGTTCCACATTCGACACTCTTGGAAAGATGGCTCTTCCCCTTACTCTCGAC